AACAGCTAAACCATCTTTATGTTCTCACTTCTCTCATCAATATGAGATAATAATACCTACTTCTTAGGATTGTTAAGAGAATTAAATGACATAAGATGTGTAAAATACTTACAATGGTGCCTGTCACATAGTAAAATGTAGCTGGTATTGCTATCATCATTTTTATATACCATCTGTTTTACGATAAAAGATTCCTAGAGAGAATGGTAATAAAAAATTATTGTAACTGAGCATGAACATTGTTTTTACCATATTGCTTTTGCCACAGTGTTTCAGCAGGCTATCTGGATATCCCAGAAGAAAAAAAAAGATTTGTAATGATCAGAAATATGATAAAAGTCTCAACTAAATGAATTTAGTTATGTAAATTGTGACACATTCTGTAATAGTGTAACAAATATTAATATCATATTTTACATCAAGATTAAAACCCATTTCATACCTTAGGTTTAAGAAAAAAAAAAAAAAAGATTAAAACCCAAAGGAAAACTGTGAATGTGACCTCATAGGAGATACCTAGCTACCATTAATGCAGTTTTCTGTGACAGGCCAGTCTTTTATTTTTCTTTCTTTATAGTGTCCTGCCTGTGCCTCTGAGCTCAATCTCTGTTCCTTGGTAAAATATCAGGATTCTAGGCTGCGCACAGTGGCTCACATCTGTAATTCTAGCACTCTGGGAGGCTGAGGCAGGAAGATCGTTCAAGGTCAGGAGTTCGAAACCAGCCTGAGCAAGAGCCAGACCCCATCTCTACTAAAAATAGAAAGAAATTAATTGGCCAAGTAAAAATATATAGAAAAAATTAGTCGGGCATGGTGGCACATGCCTGTAGTCCCAGCTACTCGGGAGGCTGAGGCAGTAGGATCGCTTGAGCCCAGGAGTTTGAGGTTGCTGTGAGCTAGCGCTGACGCCATGGCCCACTCATCTAGCCAGGCAACAAGTGAGACTCTGTCTCAAAAAAAAAAAAAAAAAAAAAAAGATTCTATCCTGAGTATGTGGGAGGTTACAAAAAAAAAAAAAAGATCCTGGCCTTTCCCACCAAGAAGGGTGTCAGGGCTTCAGCCCCAGATGCTTCTCTACCAAGACTCTATTTCAATCATCCTATTAGGCTCCAGTTCCTGCCAGAAAAACAGCCCTAGCCTTCAGCTGCATATTTAGAATGCTTCTGAACTCTGTGGGTGATTCTTTATCTCATTAACTGACCAAGGACCCTTTAAAGCTCAGGGAATTTGGCCAGGTGGGGCATGGTGGCTGATGCCTGCAATACTAGAACTCTGGGAGGCTGAGGCAGGCAGATCTCTTGAGCTCAGAAGTTCCAGACCAGCCTAAGCAAGAACAAGACCCTGTCTCTACTAAAAATAGAAAAATTAGCATGGTATTATGATGCCCATCTGTAGTCCCAGCTATTCAGGTGGCTAAGGCAGGAGGATTGCTTTAGCCCAGGAATTTGAGGTTGCAGCAAGCTATGATAACCCCACAGCACTCTAGCCCAGGTGACAGAGTGAAACTCTGTCTCAAGAGAAAAGCTCATGGAATTCTATTCATGTAACAATCTTAGAGGGGTTAGGTAAGAGGTCTTATGTCCCCTCAAACTTTTTATCACCTAGAATTCTCTTCAACTGGTCCCCATAAATGTCTCATCTTAACTTCTTGTTAACTGACTTCTTATTTTTGTGTGGTCGCTCTATAGTGCCCACAGGCCTCCTTCAGTTGAGGAGTCTGATCCCTTGCAGGATTGATGGCCCTGCTAACTTTGGACAGTCAGACTTCGTCTTTGCTGGGTCTGTGACATCCACCTCACCTTGATGGCCAGGACTCCTGAAAATCCCATCAGCACTGAGCAGTGGGAAGCCCCATCTGTCCCTGTTGCCTGCTTCTGGAGATGATTGGATGTCTGCCCACCTTGAAATTCTGTCTGCACTGTTTTTTTTTCAGATTGAATTTTCCTCCCTCTGACAGAAGCTTCCAAGAGCATGTGGTGGCTCCTGAAGGTCTCCCAGATCAATAAGAGAAGCAAGCTTTTGCTTCCCCTGGAGAAACAGCAAGACTGGTGACTCATCTGTCACTGCTAATTAGCACAAAGGGTCTGAACATTGGTGAACACACAGAGAGAAAATGATTGGGATTAACCAGACACCAGGGGGTTTTCTTTGTTTTGTTTTTTGTTTTTCTGTTTTTTTCAATTATTTTCTAAAATGTAGCCTATTTATTATGTGGTGCTGTCAGGAGAACAGAAATAAAGAAAGTTGATTAGCAGCAGTGGTCTGTTTTAGAAAGTCTTGAACAGAGAGCTTCGGGTTGCCCAAGGACATACATAGAAGAAGCAGTATGTAGCCAAAGGCACAAAACATAAACCCCATCTTGGAAGAAACTGGTCACCAAGAATTAAGCAAAGAATGTATTCATTAAAGCTTACAGAATTCTATCCAAGATCAGTTCTCTTCTCTGATGCTCATGCAGACCCTCCAGACCAGGAGTTGGAAACTGGCAGTATGCATTGTGTTCGGCAAGAGCAATTTTAAAATTTCTTACTTTGAATTGGAATGCCTTTTGTGGTGTATGCAGTTGGCTATAAGTAGTCTGACCAGTCCTTTTTTTTTTTTTTTTTTAAGAGAGATGAAGGTCTCACTATCTTGCCCAGGCTGGCTTCCAGACTCCTGGGCTCAAGGGATGAGATGCTACAACCCCAGCCTCCTGAGTAGCTAGGACTACAGGCATGTGCTACCATGCCCAGCTTTGACCATCCCATTACATCAGGTCTCTTTACATATTTACAGTACCTTAACCACCTGGTCCCTGAAGGCTATTGAGCAGGATTGCTCAGTAATATTCTATAGAAGGCAGAGGGGTTGAGAGGTTCATGATGCTCACCTCTGGATTATGGGTTTTAGAGCCCACTGGGGATGCCTAAAGGCTTTGCTGGCCACAGGGTCAGAGGTACTCAGGGGAAGAGGCAAAGCTGGTTACTGCAGACTGGGCAGGGGCTACCCTTGCCAAATCCCTTATCCCACACTTCACTCCCTGCTTGCTTATCAGTCTGCTGCCTCCAACAGATTCTAGGCATCTAGGAACAGCTGTTCTCCAAGATCCCCATTATTTAGGGAACTCAGGAGAGAAATACTAAGGAATAGACCAAGGTCAGCATATAAGAATTTAGCCCAGATATACTGTAACTATATTCCCAGAACCAAAATTTAGATCCCAATGGTCCAAAACTGGGAGCACAGTATTTAACACTGTGTCTGCCCTGGGAAATTCCTGACACGTGAGCACACAGGAGCAGAGGAGCTACCTAAGTCTCAGCCTGTGTTCACTGGCGGAAATGAAGGGAAGAAGGAGCTCCACTATCAAGCCCTGTCTGGGAGAAGGTGACAAGTTTTCAAGGTTATACTCGCTAGTAAAAAGGGATCTGGGCTTTTTTTGTCGAAGACTCCACTGAATTATTTTGGATTTCGTTCACATGCTGGAAACAGATACATTCAAAGAGACATGAATCAGGCCGGACGCGGTGGCTCACGCCTGTAATCCTAGCACTTGGGAGGCGGGCAGGCGGATTGCTGGAGGTCAGGAGTTCGAAACCAGCCTGAGCAAGAGCGAGATCCCATCTCTAATATAAACAGAAAGAAATTAATTGGCCAACTAGTATATATAGAAAAAATTAGCCGGGCATGGTGGCGCATGCCTATAGTCCCAGCTACTCGGGAGGCTGAGGCAGCAGGATCGCTTGAGCCCAGGAGTTTGAGGTTGCTGTGAGCTAGGCTTATGCCACGGCACTCACTCTAGGCTGGGCAACAAAGTGAGACTCTGTCTCAAAGAGAGAGAGGGAGAGAGAGAGAGAGAGAGAGAGAGAGAGAGAGAGAGAGAGAGAGAGAGAGGAGAGAGAGAGAGAGGGAGAGAGATGGATGAATCAGTGGAGACAACTTTCTCTGTGAGCCTGTGTATCCTACAGGGCTGCTCCCAGAACCCTGCTCCACTCGGGGTTCCGGAAGGACAGTCTTGCATTCAGTGCAGCCATGTTCCTTTTATTCCAAATCATATCACTCAGACCTCTAGAAAACAGGGTCCTCTGGCGCTCGGTGATCAGATTCCACCTATCTCTGTGTTGTACATTCCTGGTCTTTTAATATCATGCCTCCTTGCTCCTTGCTCCTGCCTGGCTGAGAGGGAAAAGATACAACCAACCTTAACAAACCTTATAAACCTTAACTTTGCTTCTCGAAAACCACAGAACAACACCAAACTATCTATATATATATTCCTAGATTTCCAACACACAGACTTGCGAGATCGTATGAAAAAATAGCTAAAATATGGCTTTTCTATGTAATATGAGGACAAGGTAGTTTAGAAATCACTAAAGGAACATCACTTTTTTTTTTGACTGCACATGTGTTTCAGATGTGCGGACAAATAGGGCACAATAGACCAAAATGAAAGCTCTGGCATGGTGTCTGTTGAGACTATATTAGAATAGAAATGAGGAGGACAGTTTCACAGGGCTTTATTCTCAGGCTTAAGGAGACCTAATGAAGAATTTTAAGTAAAAAAGCACTATCGATAAATTTTACTATATTAATATAGTAATAAATGTTTACCGAATGAATTCTTACAAGATTTTTTTTTACATGTATATCTTGTAATTCTTTGCTATTCTAGTTGAATCTGAGCTGAGAATGGAAACTCAGTAAGTATATTTATTTTCTGGTGCCTTAAGAGAAAAAAGGAAAAATTTTGTATAAGTTAAATAGGTTTATAAAGAAAAGACATATCTTTTTCTAAAACAAAGCCTTCAAAACATTTGTGTTTCTGGCACAGTGGGCTGGGTGGTCTTGTGGCTCTGTCTCTTGCTTCAATGGTGTTTGGACGGAACAGACCCGAGGGCTCCCTTTCTTCCAGCCTCTGACTGGCTCTCTGATCGCCTCTCCACTTGCGATCTCCGGACCAAAAGAAGATCTCTTGCCATCTCCTGCTGCTGGAGCCAGCTAACAACCTTTTTTTGGTGGTTAGCGTGTTACTTATGCAACCAGGAGCTCCCAGATTCGTCATCAGAATTATTTATTCCCCGGAGGTGGAGGCAGCAGTCAACCGCCCGGTCAATTTGCATCTGCAGGCCTCCCACACCTACCTCTCTCTGGGCTACTATTTCGATCGCGACGATGTGGCTCTGGAAGGCATGGGCCACTTTTCCCGCGAATTGGCTGATGACAAGCGCGAGGGCGCAGAGCATCTCTTGAAGATGCAAAAACCAGCGAGGCGGGCGCGCTCTCTTCCAGGACGAGAGAAGATGAGTGGGGTCCCACCCAGGACGCAATGGAAGCCCCCGTGGCCCTGGAGAAGAGCCCGAACCAGGCTCTTCTGGATCTTCATGCCCTGGGTTGTACCCGCACAGACCCCCATCCCTGTGACTTCCTGGAGAATCACTTCCTAGATGAGGAAGTGAAACTCATCAAGAAGATGGGCGACCACCTGACCAACCTCCGCAGGCTGGCCGGCCCCCAGGCTGGGCTGGGCGACCAAGTCTTCGAAAGGCTCACTCTCAAGGCCGCCAAGCCCAGCGACCACTGAGGAGCCCCTCTCAAAGTATCAGGGCTTCTGCCTGAGCCTGTCCCTCCAGCCACTCGGCAGCTTTGTAACCACCCTGGGGTCCTCTCCCAAGCCTTCGACCAAATGGAAATAAAGCTTTTTGCAGCAGAAAAAAAAAACTGTGTTTCTGAATCATATTTTTAATGAAACTGCTTAAAAGACTATAAAATATGATAACAAATATTTTGTAACTGTTTTATAGGAATGTTCATTGCAACAACAAAAGAAGGGACAGCCATCATTCCTGACTAGTTACATAGTAATTCATTGATTTTTTTCATTAGGTGTTACATTTATCATATTTACAACTCAGGAGCTACCAAGGAGTATACAATGTAGTCTTCCTCTCAGCCCTGTCCACCAGTCACCCAGTGCCTCTCCTTTGAGACAACCAACATTTGTAATGTTTTGGGTAGCCTTCCAAATAGATTTGAAACAAGTAGGTATTATTAAATATCTGTTTCCCCTCTATACAAACATTAGCATACTAACCAGTGTTCTTCATCTGGCTTTTAAAAATTCTAACAACATATGTTGGCAATCATTACATATCACTACACAAAGAGTTTCCTCTTTTTAAAGCAGCATGGTATTCCCACCATATTTATTTAGTTGTTCTCCTACTAAAAGACATTTAGGTTGATTCTAACATTTTGCCACAAAAATGTTCTACTCAATAACCTTGTACACATGTCATTTTGTAAACCTGTAAGAATATATGCAGGAATAAAATTTTAGATGTATAATTTGTGGGTTAAAGGATATACACATTTGTAATTTTGGGGGTTTTTTGTTTTGCTTTTTTTGAGACAGAGTCTCACTTTGTTGCCCAGGCTAGAGTGAGTGCCATGGCGTCAGCCTAGCTCACAGCAACCTCAAACTCCTGGGCTCAATCAATCCTTCTGCCTCAACCTCCTGAGTACCTGGGACTACAGGCATGTGCCACCATGCCCGGCTAATTTTTTCTATATATATTTCTTGGCCAATTAATTTCTTTCTATTTATAGTAGAGATAGGGTCTCACTCTTGCTCAGGCTGATTTCAAACTCCTGACCTTGAGCAATCCACCCTCCTCGGCCTCCCAGAGTGCTAGGATTACAGGCGTGAGCCACCGCGCCCGGCCACACATTTGTAATTTTGATAGCCATTGCTAAACTGCACTCCATTGAGCTGCACCAATATGCATTCTCAGTGCATTGCACAAAAATGTCAGTTATCCAGCCTGTCATGAACATATTGTGTTATTGGAATTTGCCTGTTGGATAATTGAAAAATTGTGTCTCAGGGTGGTTTTAATTTGCATTTCTTTTATTTCTAGTGAAGTTGAGCATCTTTGCATTTTTAAGAGACATTTATATTCCTTTTCTGTGATGTTTGTTGATAACCTTGGTCCAATTTTGTATTAGGTTGCTGCTCTTTTTCATGTTGATTTGTAGGAAATCTTTATCAGTGAAATCAACCCTTTATCTGTGTTACACATTGAAATATGATTTTTTCAGTTAGTTGCTTGTCTTTTGACTTTGCTTATCATGGTTTTTAAAATTTTTTCTCTATTGATATTGTGTCATCCTTAGAAATCGTGGGCTCATCTTATATTTTAATGGTTTCTTATTTTTTCTTTAACATTAACATTTTTGATCCTTCTAGAACTCATCCAGATTTAAAGTTTGAGGTATAGATTCAAGTTTTTTTTTTTTAGCAGATGTCTACCTTTGAATTGAGATCTCACCTTTAATTATACCATATTCTCATAAGTATGTGAGCCTATTTCTGTTCTCCCTAATTAGTTTTGTCACTCTGTCTATCCATGTGCCAGTTCTACACAGTTTTAATCATTGTAGATTAAAAATATTTTAATACCTGGCAGAACTAGATCCTCTTATTTTTCTTCTTTCACATTTTTTTGATTATTTTGACTTATTTTTCCATAAGAAATTTATAATCAGCAAGTACAGTTTTATTTCAGACTAAATAAAGTCTAAAATCAATGGAAAATCCTTTTTTCCCCTATAAATTGCAATAGAAAGAAGTAATTGTGGGTCATATAAAAAGTAAAAAGTAACTTCATTTAGGTTTTATAGATAATGACAACATGCTCAATTTCATACTCTTGAATTAAAGAAGCAAATTGATAAAATTTCAGTTAATCAATAAAACAAATTAAGAAAATATATCTCAAATCTATATTAGGGATCAGTGGTTGGCAAGATTGCCATCTCGCCCCCATGGGACATCTGGTGGTGTCTGAAGACATTTTTGATTGTCATGACTGGGAATGGGGGTGTTGGCGCTCCTGGCATTTACTGAGTGGAAGCCAAGGTTGCTGCTAAACATCCTACAGTGCATGAGACTGCACAGCCCCCCATGACAGATTATTTAGTTCAAAAATGTTAATACTGCAGAGGTTGAGAAGTCATGATTCAGAGAGTGAAGCAGATAAGAGTTTTTTTTTTTTTAAGCACAAAGAGAGGAATGTAATTAATATGTAACTACAAAGAATAAGAAGGTGGAGATGATCTATGAGAAAGAAAGGGTGAGCAAAGGAGATAGGAAGTGGAAAATTCATATTTTATGAAATCTTATTTTTTATTTATAACAAATTTTGGTGTAGTTACCATGTGAAAATCTTACAACTCTAAATTGGTGTTAGAATGCACCTATGTGTTTGAGCTATAGGGGGCAGTCTGCCAGTTTTTAACTAAGAAGCAAAACAGCGTCAGGGAGAGAATGAATTTGGATGAATGAGCTGAGTTTAGTTAAAGATGATCTTTCTTTGAACTACTGGGAGCTTGTATCTGAGGAATCTTCATATGCTAGAAAGGTCAACAGAAAAAAAATACGTGACTAAACATTTTTATGTTTGTCGATTTTATAAGTAAAATATATATCATTATTGTTTTAATGTGTAATGCTGTAATTATGCATGAGATGTGGAATCATAGGTTCATAAGACATTTATATTTATCTTTTGTTCATTTTTATGTTGTATTGTAGATGTTAATTATTGGTTTTTGTACCCTTTAGATATTAAAATAATGAAAAGGTTTTTTTGCCGTTAATGTATTACAAACAAAAAAATAAAGCTTTCCTGGGATATAAATGGGGTACAGTTTTCATTAGAGTTCACAAGGCTCTCAACATCTGACTAACGTAGGTTACATTTTTCCTAAGCATCTTCACTTTATAAAATCCTCATTCAGATTTTTTTGTTCTTGTGACATTCTCTCCTGCTCATTAACATTTTTGTGCTGTGTATAACTTTATTTTGCTAATAATTCCAAATGTCAGGTAATTCAATTCTTTTCACATTCCAAATAGAGAATTTCCTATGTGTCCAGCAATAATTTTTCAGTTAATCTATATTGCTGATAAAGTGCTTCATCAAGTACTAACAGAGTTTAGTTTCTGATATCTGATATTAATAGTTAGGGTAAGCCAACAACATTGTATATGTCAACTTGGAAAAGAGCAAAAGCTTTCTTGAGCTCTGATTGGTGGAATGTGATGTGTTCTGACTGGATGAGAGGTGACTGATTGATACATGGCCACAAGAGTTTGTGAAATGAACATACCTGTCATTTTTAGCTTATAAAAAATACAATGTTTACCAATGTCCAATTCTGTGGATATTGTAGATGAAATGCCTCAAAACATAATGATGTTCACTATGGTGGCTATAATCAAAAAGCTAATAAGTTTCAATGAGAATATGGAGAAATTGGAATCCTCATACTCTGCTGGTGGAAATGTAAAATGATGCAGCTACTTTGAAAAAGAGTATAGTAATTCCTCGAATGGTTAAACATAGAGCTACCATGAGACTCATCAATGACACTCGTAGGTATGTACATGAGAGAATTGAAAACATATGTCCACAGAAAAAACCTGTACGCAAATGTTCATTGCAGCATTATTCATAATAGCCAAAAAAGGAAAAAACCCAGAATGTCTATAAATGGACAAATGGATAAACTAGATGTGGTGTATCCACACAAAAGTGTAATATTATCCAGCCATAAAAAGAAACAAAGTGCTGATACATGATACAACATAGATGAACCTTAAAAACATTGTAGTAAGTAAAAGAAGTCAGATACAAAAGGCCACATATTATATGATTTCATTTATACAAAATGTTCAGAATAGGCAAATCTATGGAGACAGAAAGTAGTTTAGTGGTTGCTTAGAAATGAGGGCAAGGAGAGTTAGGGGCCAACGGAGGACTGCAAAGGGTACAGTTTCTTTGTGCATGTTGAAAGTGTCCTAGATTTGATTGTTGTGATGCTTGCCTATCTTTACGAATATCCAAAAAGCCACTGACTTGTACACTATAGGTAGGTGAATTATATGGTAGGCGAATTATAGCTCAATAAAACTGTTAGAAAAAAAACCAAAAGAAAACAAAACCTGTAATTAAATTCACACCAGATATTGTTACCTAATCTCAAAAACAAAACAAGACAAAACAAAATCCACAATGCCCTCCCCTAAGACCACAGTTGACACATGCCCTTGCACGTGAGGACTTTTTGTGGGTATACCCTAGTGATTCCCTTCATTTGGGTGAAACGTTTCAATAAGTCCTGATTTTTATCAGAACCTACCCAATTAGATTGAATTAGTTGGACAAATTTATACTTAGTTGTTAGAAGTTATATTGCTTGGTTTGTTATTTTGTTCTAGGGAACAATATAATTTGCAATATGTTTAATTTTTGTGTGATTTTTTTTAGATTTGTCATGCTTTTTATTTTCCATAATATTTTATTATGAAAAATTCAGATATACAGTAGAAAAAATTATAGTTAACATCAGCCTATCTACCACCAAGATTTAACTATTAACATTTTATTATGCTTGTTTTAGCACATATTTATCCATATTTCCATCCCTCTATCCTTCCATTCACCCATTTTTCAAAGTAACTTGTAGATATCAGTACACATCCCCTTAATACTTCTGCATTCACATCATTGGGTAGAATTTGATAT